CTCTCTCTCTCTCTCTCTCTCTCTCTCTCTCTCTCTCTCTCAGTATTTCTATTCCCACTACCACTGGCCTAAGCTGTGCATGCTCAGCATAGATTACAGAACTGGTATGTGCAATGCTTTTTTCCCTTTTCAGAAAAGAAAGAAAAGGAAAAGGAAAGTGCCCCTTCATTTACTTAGTTTGTTCATTACAGAAATATACAAAAGAGATCAATATCTCAAAGGCACCATTCCAGCAGGGAACCTTAGCATGAACCGAACTGAAGACCAATAAACAAGAACTGTGAGGGTTTCCATGTGATTTATGGCATGTAGAGAAGAACCATTTTTTTTTTTTAAAGAAGAAAGTAAATTTGGGGATTTTTAGAAAGAATACTCGAAGCAGACTTTTCCATACATTTTTGTTATTTAAGAGAGATGTAGAGGGAGAGAAAGATAACATCTGATACAGACGTTCTAGTTCTTCAAAGAGAAGAAGTTCCTGGGTGGAGAAACTAGGTTATGTTTAAGAAAAAGGAGAGAGTTTGCACATGGGATTTATTGTAGAGATCTTCGTCTTGCCTTAATTTTGAGCACAGTGTAGCTTTTCAGATCCACTGTGGCACAGACTACCATGACTCCCAGTTTCACTACTCCTGTGACCTTCTTGCAATCTGCAACCAATGGGATTAGGCCACCCAGTAAACGTGCTGATATCTGACTGAATGGAATGGGCTGGATCCAGATGTACTTCAGCCTCACTGCAGTCAACAGGACAAGCTTCCCATGATTTAATGAAGACAGATCTCATGCACATCTGTAGTACCCAAGCTCATCTGCAGTTACAATCCTATACATTTACCTGGAAGTACTTGAGAGCAATGGGTCTTACTTATGGGTAGATGCCTATATGGTGACTGAAGCTCCTGCTGACTCCAGTGAGATCAAGAATTCACCACCATCTGAGTAGTTCAAAGAGATACTGATAAAGTGGCATTTCATGGCCTTCTCCATAAAACTGAGACACCTATCAGCTCTTCCCATCACCAGAACCTTTATCAGGTGTGGTGCTTGCGAGGAAAAGACCTGGGTCCCAGTGATAGATGCGTCCCTACCTGCTGCCACTGACAATAAAAATTCGAATCCAAATGACTGATTCGGGGGCTGAGGGGTGACTGCTTCATTTTACCAGGGCCTGACAAGCCTGCGTTATTAATGTCCAAATGATCTCCCGAGAAACTGAAAAGCTGTCAAAACCTGGCGAGATTAGGAGGCCTAAATAAGCAATAGAGAAGCGCCGTGAGGGTAGATAAAGGTGCAGCGTGTGTTCCCCGGGCATTGAAATTTTAATCTGGATGGGAGGGAGGGAGGAGGCAGGCAAGAGGAGTCACGTGAGTCATGAAATAATTAATACCGATCTCTAGGAATGACTCTGTGACCATCAGTTCTTACTAGTAGGCGCGATTCTTTCCGAAGTGAAAGGGAACTTCCTCTTTGACTTAACCAAAACAAACAAACAAACAAAAAAGCCAACCTACCTGATTTATTTTTTTTTGCAAAGGTCCTTACACTTCCTAAGCAAGCAATAGGGGAATGAAGTCGGTAAGTACACACAGTCCAGTCGTGTGCCTTGATTGCCTTTCATTGTTTGCGCTTGCTTTATTGGGAGCGTTGACTTAGCGCCGCGAAGATTTACGAAATGCTAAATCTTTGTTGCAAGCTGCCTTGTGGTCATATTATGCCTTTTTGGTGATTAAGCCTAAACCAAGGCGAGGCTATTTGATAACATTCTAGTACTAATTCACCCTGTGGAAGGCTGCCTACCACAGTGCGGGAGTGCTGGGGGTTTTGTTTTTTGCAATTTGCCAAGCCTTCATAAATCACTGGTTCCTCGAGCAGGGCCAAAAGAGAGAGAGAGAGAGAGAGAGAGAGAGAGAGAGAGAGAGAGAGAGAGAGAGAGAGAGAGAGAGAGAGAGAGAGAGAGAGAGAGAGAAATTGGAGAGGCAGCGGCAGCGGCAGCAGCAGCAAGCACTGTGGGAAAGGAAAGGCAGAAAGACAGAAACCGAACCGAACCTAAGTCGTGGACAAATTTCTCTGAGATTCATCAAGCCGGGCAAATTGGTACCAAATTGAAGCAAGGCGATTCATAGTTGAGTCTTTTATAACAACATCTGCTAAAAGTTGTGGCATTTTATTAAATGTTCCAG